CGCAAACTTGTTGAAAAGCCTTCCTGAGATTCTCCAGCTTCCTCCCTAGGGATGAACCCTTCGACTTGTTGTTGTTGGTCTTCTCACCATCTTTGTCTTCTCTTTTGCCTCTCCCAAGCTTAGGACAATGCGAACGAAGATGATCAATTGAATCACATTAAAAGCAACGATTTGGACCACCTCTTTTCCTGTTCCTGGCATTATTCATAGCTCGAGCAATTCTGTTAGCAACCAAAGCCAAATCCTCCTCCTCGATCTGTTCGAGTTGATCATCGGATGTGGCATTAAAAATAGCTAGAAAAGAAGGCTTAGATGAAGAAGCATCAACATCCAAAGAAGAAGAAGAAGAAACCAAAGCACTCGACTTAGAATCAACTTTTTGTGAAAGAACATTCATCTCATGTGTTTTCAATTTTGTGTAAAGTGAATCCAAAGTCAAAGTAGACATATCAACCGACTCCTGAATAGATGTAACTTTCATCTCCCAAATAGACATGTCAAGACAATTCAAAAAGTGACGAGAAATCTCAGATTGTGGATAATTAGCATCATAAGAAGAATCAACAGATCTAAGATCACTCAAAATTTTATTAAACGTAGAAAGATAGTCATCCAAAGTTTCTCCAGGTTTTATCTCAAATTTAATGTACTCCTTTTTGAAAATATCACGACGAAGTTCTTTAATGTTATTTGTTCCTTGATGAAAGTTACTCAAAGCATTCCAAATTTCATATGCAGTTCGAAAATGCGCAATACGATCATAATCCGAACGAGAAATACCACTCAAAAGAATGTTGCGAGCTTTGCAATTTTGTTCAAAAGCAGTTTTTTCAGTAGCAATATTAATGGAATCAAATAAGGATGAGAAACTTTTCTCCAAATATCATAATCTTCAGCCATAATGTAAGATTGCATCCTACTACACCAATGAGAAAAATCTGTTCCATCGAAAACATGAGGCTTAGTTGAAAACCTAACAGGAGTAGCCATGGCAAAAACTCTAGATCGATAAAAATCCAAAGAAGAAAACAAGGCTCTGATACCACTTGTAAGATCGAATCACATTAACTAAGCCAACCAGAGGGGGGGGGGGGTGAATGGTTGGTATACCCAAAAACCGAAAACTTTTAGCGGAAATAAAAGTTACCCTCGAAATTGACGGAAGTCGGTCTGACCGAGATTGATCTATCGGTCTGACCGAGTAGATGCCGCCAGTCTGACCGGTGTTGAATCTCTAGTCTGACCGCCGAAGTCGCCTGCCGCGCCTGTCGCCGCCGCCGGTCTGACCGCCGTGCTCCTGCCGGTCTGACCGCCGCTTGCCGCCGGTCTGACCGCCGGTATATCGCCGGTTAGACCGCCGAAACCCGGTGAAACAGAAATCAAAGAACTCTTAAAGTAGATGACGACTTTATTGATTCTCTCTATGTTTACAAAGTGCACCAACAACACTCCTTACAAAAATTTCGACTAAACTCGAAACCCTAACTCAAAACTCAACTCAATTGCTCTAAAAAGCGATACTGGGAAGCCTCACGCTCCCCCTCTATTTATACCCGAGGTAGGCAGCCTAAAGCCACGAACCAAACTCATACTAGGAGTCCTAAACACCTTAGGAAACCCTCTAGTACAAGAAACAAACTTTACATAACCAATCATACCAAATTTGGACTCCTTCCAAATTCGACTCCGCATCCCATACGCACACAATAACTCCATCGTATGCCATATGGAATCTCCATCAACCACGTGCATCAACTCTAGCCTAAGTATTCCGCATGATCTCTGACCACCACGGACGTCGTCTTATCCCCAAGCCGACTTCCGGTCCATCACCGCAAATACTCTTCCGAGACATCGAGTCACCTACACATGAAATAAACAAAGAAACCATATTCCGAGACCAAGCTATCTCCAACTTGACTCATTAGTAGCAAACAACAGTATTACATACGTATAGTATCCATCTAGAAGCCATAATCATGAAATAATCACGGATATCCAAACAAACAACCCGAAACCGAAACCGACACAGCGTCGGCCGGTCAGACCGCGGGCTGCACCGGTCTGACCGCGCGATACACGCCGGTCTGTCCGGCTCACACTGCCCGGTCTGACCGGTCACATGAAATAACAACACCTGCGATTCACCTGTAAATCCAATCATCTCCAAAACCACTTCGTGAATAAATTCCAAATAACAAAACCAATAATCTCCGATGCCAATTGTTCATCACAGAATAATAATCAAAAACACTTTTGATTTTACATCTAATTGTGGTCAGCTCAGTTTTTGGCACTTGACAGTTTGACATGATCATGGTGAACAACTGAACATGGCATGATGACAATGCCTTAAACACGTAAAGACGACAATTTCTTTTTTTTTTCTTGCACGGGCCGAGGTTAATCGGGCCGGCATGGCCCAACCTACATGCCGGGCCGTGTCGTGCCAGCCCACGGGCTACACACACGGCCTAGGCACGGCCAATACAACTCGGGCCGTGCCGAAGGCACGACAACCCATCGTGCTTCTCCACAGAATAACTCTATTTTCGTCTCTCAACTCTATTGGCTATGCCCATATGGCTAAAAAATAAGTCCATTTTATATTCCTCTTCTTTTTGGCCTTACCTTATATGGTTATTTAAGTTTATTTGCATCCCTATACTATTTTTCTTCGATCATGCCGTGCCGGACCGACCCACCATGTCGAGGGTGCAGCTCAAGCACGGCCCGGATGTCGGGCCGGGCTGGCACGGGCACGACCCCAATCGGGCCATGCCATGCTTGGGCCGGACCAAAATGGCGTGCCTTGGGCTGGGCCGGAGGTCTCGGGCCATATGGCCATCTATAGGTGCAAGGTTAGCATAGCACGTACTCTCCCTATCACAAAACAAACAAATCTAGTAAAAGAGATAACACACCTTAATACTATAAATTTGGACATGAGCAGATTCTTACTATTCTTCAAACTATAAGCCTGGCTGTACACTCATTCTTACGATTTCCATCCCAAATCAGCAGAATTCTGTTCTTGGGATTTCCCCTGTTCAAGGTTTAGTTGACACATTGTTCTTGCGATTCAACGAAGAGAGACCATTTAGGCATATGGTAAGTGACCAAACCTCATTTCTGTTTTTCTTTTCTTTTCGATGAGCTAGGTTGAGAGCAATTGCTCGGCTTCCTGGATTGGTTTTGATGTTGTGCATTGTATTGCAGGTTGGTCCGGCGATTCAAGAGAAGTAGTCGCGGTGGCTGAGGCCTCTGCAGTCGGCGAGGTATACTTCGCGCAGTGCGGCGAGTGCAACATGTTCCGCCGCCGCTGGCCGGTGCTGTGAGGTGTGTGGCCGTGGCCTGCTCGACTCCTTCGATTCGGCTTCTGCTCCCTCGGATGCAAGGTGCGTACGTGCTCTGACGACTTCGCATGAACCACCTACCCATCGACGATGCACAACTGCAGTTTCGGCCTTGATTTCATAATTTCACTATTTGAATTCTACTGATTCATTTGGTTCTTAACAAAACTTTGAATCTTTTCAATCGCGTTTATGCATAATTGCATTGGAAGAAGAAGTAAAACACTAACTGGTTCCGAAATGGCAGTCCAAACCGTGACAGTAGTAGTACTAAAATAACGACCACGTATTGTTCAATTTATGACGTTTATGCAGCTTGGAGGACCCAAAGCTGACCTGAAATTTTTACATTTTAGTACTTTTTAAAAATTTATTTTATAAATGGACCTCTGGAAAAACTTAAAACAAAAATGGTTTTTTTTTGGCACCAGAGTGGCTGGCGCCGTCCTCTAACATGGCGAAAAATCCCGCGAAAAATGAGTTTAAATTGACTGGATTTGAGGTGGAGAGGTGAGGGGGGGAGAGGGAGAAGAACAACAAGCAGCGGCTCAGGCTACGACTCAGGCAAAAATGGGAGTGGAGAGGAGAAAGGTGGTGGGGCCACAGGGTTTAAAGGCGCGGCCCACAGAGGAGAGGCGCGCCATCCATGCTGGCGCCGTCGTATGAGGGGCGGCGTCAAGGTGGCTGGCGCCCCTCTTCTGCCAAGTCCGCATCGCTACGACAGCCCTAGTGCCATGGTGGCACTGTCGCGGCGCCATGATGGCTGGCGCCGTCATGTTGGAGGACGGCGCCAGCCTCTCTGGCGTCCAAAAAGGACCATTCTCGGTTTAAGTTTTTTTAGGGGTCTATTTATAAAATAAGTTTTTAAAAAGGATTAAAATGTAAAAATTTCAGCAAAGCTGACGCTCGTGCTACTGCACGGTAAGCTGGGCTTGGAACCCAGAAAGGTCTGGAGGACGGCGGCTGCCGTTTTTCCCGGGAAAGCCGCCTCGTATCTCCGGCCACCACCGGCTGTCCACGCGGCGGAAGAGCGCGCCGCGCCGAGCGCCGTCATACTAGTCCAGTCATGAGAGGAGACCATGATATCAAAATTAAATCTTAGGTTGATTGGTTCATCTCTTCACTTTACCAAACTATATTTGACTTATATTTTAGGTAGGTGTTTGACTTATATTTTAGGCTCACAAGTTTTATGTTTTTAAACCATGTCACACTTATAGCATACTAATTCATAGTCACTTTTATTTTATTTCACACTTTACGGTTAGTTGTAGTAAAGTTAGACATCAACCAAACAACCCCTTACTCTCTCGTGTTAAAATGTAGCTACCTATAGTACAATAGAACTAGACAGATTTTAAGTAGGTTTTAGCCGTTTTTGGCGGTGCAAATGAGGCCCAAATATGTACTTCCTCCGTTTCAGTTATAAGATTTTCTAGCATTGCCCATATATATATATATTATGAATCTAGATATATATATCTATATATGTGTGATTAAATTCATTAACATCTATATGAATATGGACAATACTAGGAAGTCTTATAACCTGAAATAGAGATAGTAGTTCATTAATATTTCCAGCCCCAACGGAACTCAAGAGTTTTCGACTCGGCGCTCTCCTCGGTATCCGTGCTTATAGAGTCCATCCGCTCGGAAGGCCGTCAGTTGTCTTCCGCAGACAATGCCGCTTTTGGGGATTTGATAGGAGTGTAGTGTGGCTCCGCCTCTTCCCTCTCGTTTGTTGGAGTAACCTTTTTTCGTAGTAGTATTTTTTTCTTTTTTTTTTCTTTCTTTCTTCTGGCATAGGCTTGTTTGGCCGATTGCGTTGTGTAACAAAATCTCCTTTTCTTTCTAATATATTGATGTGCAATCCTTCTACGTTCGCACAAAATTCCAGCCCTTGAAAACAAGAAATAGATTGCATTTTATTGCAGTGAGCGATATAAGATTTTCCAACTCTTGCGCAAGCGTGCATACAATGGGACATAGTTTAAATACAAGAGATTCTGAGGATTATTGTACTTTTACACAGGAGCACACAAAGCATAAATGTATAAAAAAAATACTAACAAATATCAGATTCAGATAATCAGAAGGTGAGACCAGATCCTTTCAGCTTCTCCTCAATAACGGCATCCAACTTCTTGGCCATCTCTTCAGTCAAGTAGTTCTTCCAGTCCCCGACTTCACCTTTTCTGAAAAACACCGAGTTCTCCATCGGCCGTCCACTGCTCCGATCAACCACCCCGGAGGAGTTCACGGGTAGGCGGCTCAGCTTCTCGAAGCTGCACAGCCTCACAACCTCCTCGACGACGCCGGCGCCGACCTCCTCGTCGGTGAACGGGGCTCGGAGGAACTCGGCGAGCTTCTTGACGTGGCCGGCTGGGTCGGCCATCATGTCGTCGTACTTGAGGAAGAGCACCATGTCGGGTTCCTCCATGCTCTTCTTCCAGTAGCCTAGGCAGTGATCCCAGATCGGCCCGTACTGCCGTACAGGGAGAAGCCATCGACAAACAGCTCGAAGGCCCTGTCGAGATCGAGGAAGAAGCCATTGCCGACCTTGTTCATGTAGTGCCACAGGGAGACGACGACGTCCTTGGGCTCCCGGCATAGGTAGACGATGCGGCAGCCGAGCTCGGCGACGCGCCGGGGAAGCAGCTGGGGCGGCATGTGGGTGGAGAGCAGCCTCGGGGAGGGGAGCGCGTCGAGGGCGGCGAGAGGGTGGAGGTGGTGGAAGGGCACCTCGATGAACGGCACAAGGTCATGCGGGCTTTGGGTGAGCAAGGGGTGGTCGCCGGCGGCGGCGGCGGTTGGCGATGGCGAAGGAGAGCACCTTGAGCCAGGTGGTGCCGCACTTTGGGTAGGTGGCGAGGAGCACATCGTCGGGGCGCCGCGCGAACTGGGCGTGCACCAGCGAGGCAGCGACACGCTCGTGGCGGCCTGCTGCGTCATCCAGCAGCCGTGGTAGAGGACGAACGCCGTCCACCATCCTTCCCTCGTCGGAAGCGACGCGAGGATGTTGGCAGTACATCCTAACGAAAGACATATACGGCGGCGAAACCGATCGAGGAAACATGATCGGAAACGAAACAGCCAAAAACGTCTTCCTCGCCTCCGGACTCCGGTGGCGGTAGGGACGACGCTCTCGGCGTCAAGTTGACCTTGAGCCATGGCTGCTTAAGGTTTGCTCGACTGACACGAGCGAGCTTAGTGATCTGGAGCAACAACACAACTACACTAGCTTCGATCCTGTGTCTCTGTAGTCTGTATTCCGTAACTCTGTACCATCAACACAAGCATCCAGCCGAAACACGCGATGAAGGTATACAAGAATCATATTCTCGTACAGTCGACTAGGTTTGGAAATTTCGGACTGAAATTTCAAGAATCATATTCTCGTACAGTCGACTAGGTTTGGATACGATATTATTTCGGCCGGATTTTTTCTACTTTTTTTAAATTTTTCGTGAATTTCGGTAATATTTGTTCAAATTTAACTAAATTTTGTTTAAAATTTCGGTATATCGGTGGCCTCAGATCAAATCGGCTAAACCGAAAAAGAGAATCCTGGTTTCGACTATTCTCGATTAAATGTACCGTCTCCATCCAGTATATTATAACCTACGACTGAATGAGATGTACTGATGTATCATAGTACTACGAATTTGAACATGATATATCTCATCCGGTTTTAGGTTGCTATATTATGGGATGGATAGAGTAGTGAGTAAGGGGATTGTTCCGCATAGTTTTGCACAGAGGTAGATAATTCACTTAGAGTTAAATTTAATATACAACTCTGAAATTTTATTTCTATAGGTACCATTATATATTGAAATATTTGGATTTCATATACAACTATTAGCTTTTATTTTTGTAAGCTTAGATTTCATATATAATTGTTAACTTCTATTTCTACATATATAATTGTATCTCGTATACAACTATATTAATCAATCTACACCGTTATAATCCGGACCCACCGTAATCTAATAATAAGATCTTTTTCTTTTTCCTCGACTAATGTGGGATTTTCAGCCACCACATTAAACGTGGTGCATGCTTTTAAGATTATCTTGATAATATAACTAGCTAGGTGGCGTGCATATTGCGCGGCTAACACCTATACAAAGCTATCTAAATTTTTACACATTATTTGTTTAAAATTTGTTAAACATTTATCTTATTGTCTTGTGATTTTAAAAATTAAAACTTATCATAATCGGGCTTTCATTTATAGTTTTTAAAAGTCACACCAACCGCATAGAATTACTCATTTGCCGTCCTTTTACTTGCTTGTCCGGTTCGCCATGGCTTCTATTCATCTACGTTATGACCTTTAAAAAATTGAATATGAAAGTTTGTTGTCTCGTCGTATTCCGTTGTTATAGTTTGATGCCACCCAAACTCCTTTACGGCCCCCTGAGGGTCGAACTTCCAATTTTAATCTATTAGTAGCGATTATTAGTTTTTGAGTGAATGGACAAGTTAACTTCATCTCCTCTGTTTTGATGAGTTCATGTAATGTAAGATGAGACCCCCCCCCCTCTCTATTGTATATTCTTTAGCTCTCCCACTCCTCTCCTTTCTCTGGTGCATGTTTAGTGCAACGGAGTAACCTAGGCTCATCCTTTTGAGCACTCGAGGTGAACACCAAGTTTGTTACTCCTGGGCATTCCTAGTCAGTTTGTGGAGTGCCTGGACCGTTTGTGAACGCATGAATTTAGTGCCGGCTCATCGACGTCTCATGCATCTAGACGTACGGGATCAACAGTGCCGTACGAACGGTGTCATCCGACCATCATGCATGGGACCAAACTTTCCAGAACACATATAAGACGTCTATCAACTACAGCATGAAGAAAAAAAAATCAGCAGAGCATCTTTTTTTTTGTTTTGAAAATTAAGATGGCATGAGATCTGCCGGTTATATTAGAAGGAATAAAAGATCAAAATACAAAGGTTTACCAGAGCGACTAAAGAAAATTACAGAAAAGGAGAAGATAGGGCTACTGAAACAAGAGGAAGGCAAGAAGGAGCCACGTTCATGGTGATTTGAAGGCCATTTCTCTTTGGTCCAAGTCTTAGATAATTAGGTTCGCCACTTGTGCAGAGCATGAGGTGCTTCCATCCTTCATCTTCACTCCAATCGGCTGGTGACCAGTTTCTAGCCATGACTAGATCGAACAAAACATCTTGGCGGCTACGTACCTTCCTTGGCAGAGCCACTCCCCATTACAATTTTCTTCGTGCATCTCAATATGGACCAATAGGTGATCCAATAACAAGCATCATATATCGGACCAGTGGGGGTCTAATACTCGTATGGCAACTTTTTTAAAACATGTAATTCCTCCGTTTCATATTATGAGACTTTTTACCATTACTAACATTCATTAACATCTGTATGAATGTATACCGTATCTAGATTCATTAACATCTATATGAATATGGGCAATACTAGAAAGTATTATAATATTAAACGGAGGGAGTAGCATTTTGGGCTTTCCATAAAGCTGATCGCATACACTAGTACATATCCTTCTATCTGTGACGAACTTTAATATGGTTAGAAATAGCGGGCCGTCACAAGGAAGTCATGTCAATCGGGCCGAAAAGTGCTCGATTGAGATATGGTCGCACAGACATGTTAGATGGGCATAAAACTTAAGCCCGTCACGGATGACACCTTTCAGTGATGGGCCGTAGTTTAGGCCTGATTGAGATAACATTCCATATCTCAAACGGGCCTAAAGTTGCGGCCGTCACAGATGACCATCATCTGTGACGGGAACTTTAGGCCCGATTGAGATAACATTCTGTCCACGGGTGATACCCGTAGACCGGATATAGAGAGTATTGGGGTACGCTGGTACAAGGGTCTACGTAGTACGACATCAAGCAAACAGAAGACGAAGATTATACTGGTTCAGGCCCCTTGATAGGTAATAGCCCTAATCCAGTTAGTATGGGATTATATGATGGAAATCACAGGTTACAAAGGGAAATATGGAACTCGATGAAACCGACGAGATCGTATCGGGTTAATCCGACTAGACCTCTCGGCAATCTGGCTTTCGCAGGCTCCGACTTCGTAGGCTGTGGTGGTGATGTTGGCTATCAGATTCCCTCTCTTAGGTCCTCCCAGGGGGTCCCTTTTATAACGCAGGTCAAGCGGTTTCCAAGTAGAACTCGGAGATATCGGACCCTGCACGATGCACTGACGACCCAGTCTTGTCCGAGTAGGACTCTTTCCATCTGTGAACTCCATGACGGATTCCCTTAATGTATGCAGAGAGCGTCCGTATACGCGCAGGTATACCATACCGATACGCGGCATGTATCGAAGGGTAAAGGGTATACCTTACCCGTAACCCTGACAGTAGCCCCCGATTTCTGCTTAAATGGACTCGTGTAACCGATCGCGACTTCTGGTGTCGAGGCTGTTGTCGTTCTCGGTGTGCGAACCGTAGAGACAGGACGCAATCGACAACACCATGTGAAGCCCAACGGTCATGAGTGAATTTAAACTGAAGTCCGAAAAACTGCCGTGCGTAACGGACCTAGAAATTTCCGGCGGTAATCTCTCTCTCCTTTCCTTGGAATTCGCACCGTCGGAAATGCGTCTATTTAAGAGGATTTTGAGGATCCATTTTGAAGTCCGCCCGTTGTGAAGAAAGCTCTCCAGCCTCCAGGCGTTCCTTGTCTCCTCCGCTCCTGCAAAGCCCTAGCTTGTTCATCTCGGCCCCTTCTCCGGCGATCTCCGGCGGCGATGGATCTCGGCAAGTCTACCTCCACCAGCGCGTCGCTTAAGAAGCTACAGGAGGATGGCGTCCTCCCCGGCCGCGGAGCCATGGAGAGGGAACCAGGAGGTATTGAACCTGAACTTGTCCTGGGCCGTATAGTTGCGATCGAGGACTATATTCTCTGTGGCTTTCTTCCTCCGCCTTCTAAGTTTCTTCTCTTGGTCTTGAATTTCTACGGCCTTTCTCTGCTCCATTTGAACCCCAATTCCATTGCCTTCCTCAGCATCTTTTCACATCTTTGTGAGGCCTACATTGGGGTAGAGCCGTTTCTCGACCTCTTTCGCTTCTACTATGAGTTGCGTTGGATGGAATCTACCAGGGTATCTGGATGTGTGGGTTTCCGACTTCGAGATGGCCTGAAGTCGCGATATATCCCCTTCCAGTGCCCTTCTTCTCGTAGCAAGTGGCGGGCGAGGTGGTTCCTTGTTCCTGAGGAACAACCAGACAAAATCCCATCTTGGACCGCAAAACCCGCCTTGACCCCTGCTCTTCAGTCGTTCATTGATGCCATCGATGACCTCCGAGCGCGAGGTTTGTCGGGTTATGAAGTCGCTACCGACTTCATTAGTAGGCGGATCCAGCCGCTCCAGGCTCGCCCCCACCCAGCCTTTGACTACTCTGGGCCGGAGGACGCGACCCGGGTTTCTCCTCGGGGTATTTTTCTTGTGTTTAATTTGATCCTCTTCTGTGCATGTTCTCCCTAATTTATTGAACTCTGTTCTTGATCTGCAGGCTTGAGTGACGCCACTGTGGAGCGCCGCGTCGGCCAATTGATGATCAACGGCCCGACAACGGCAAGCGACGTCCCCATGCCTCTTTGTGATAAGGAGGTGACCGAGCGCGAAGCCGCAATCAACGTGAGTGTACTCGGTAACCTCGCTATTTTTGCTTCCCGGGTCGGAAAATGATTTCATGCGGTGTAGGCTCACCCTCTGACTGACGTTATTGGACCGTTTGCGGACCACCAGGCGGCGGCCTCACTGAAGGAGAGCGTCGCTCGGGAGACGCCCGACGTGGCCGTCGCCGCTGCTGCCACGACTAGTGGCAGCCGTGTCCCGAAAACGGGAAGGATGTTCACCTCCGTTCTCGGCAGCCGCCAGAGAGCATCCTCCCCATCGGTAAGTCCCTTGGTTCGTTAATCTCGTATTCAAGAGATGTCACCCTCAACTCGTGCTTGATTTACCCAGGCCATGGACGCGTCTTCGCCACCTCCGCGGCGGAGGAAGCTGGTGACGCTAGGCGAGAAGTAAGTAAGCGGAAGTCGAGATCCTCTCCTCGTTTGTCTTCTGATGGCTTGATTTGAGGATCTTCTGCAGGTCGGCGCAGGCAAGAGCGGCGCAGGACAAGTCCGAAGGGGCCTCTGGAGTGTCTCCTGCAGCAACCTCAACCGATGTTGTTGTCGCGCCAAAGAGCCGTGAAGCGACGCCAAGCAGTCCGTCCAGTGCCCTCGGACCTACTCGCGGGCCATCTGCTAATGTCCTCACCTGGGGGGAGCTCCAAGCTGAGATGCAACGCATCCTCGAGGCTGGCGCTCGCGGCGTAAGTCGCGAGATCGAGGAGGTGAAGACAGCGGCAGCGTCGTCGGCGAACGAGCGTGCCGACAAGCTGGAACGCGACCTGGCGGAGGTTCGCGAGGACCTCCAGAAGATGAGGGAGCTGGTGGCCGGTAACGAGCGGCAATGGCGGGGACTCGAGGACCGGATGTCGGAACTCAAGAACAACCTGTCGGGGATCCGTGGGTCGCTGCGGGTCACCTACACCGGTCTTCATCAGCTCGCCGGGGAGTGTGGCATCACGTCAACCATCCCAGCGAACCCCGGCGAGTTCTCGCTGACGTCCTCACTTGTGGAACTGGCTACGGCGATGGAGGCAATACCCTCCAAGCATATGGCCAGGATCGTGGAGGAGGCGTCAAACGGGATTTACACCGGGGCCTGTCACGTCCTAGCGTGTGTCCGACTGGCGCATCCCGAACTCGATCTTCGGCAGATCTTGGACAGGGGGGCCGCCAACGACACTCGTAAGGGCGTGATGGAGGAGGTTGGCGAACTGGGAGAGTCTGTTCTCCCGCTTTTTGAAGAGTAGGGCCTCAGATCATTTGTAATCGACTACACTTTGTATAACAGTTGTCGGCTTCAACTGCCTTTATTCGTGCAATCGCTGCCTTGATCTCTGTTGGCACCCTGGTCCTGAGTACTTTTGGTTGTCGTTTGTAGGGATGTCGATGTCGAGGATGTCCAGCAGCGTGGGCAGCCCAAGTTACCGGTGGTCGCCCCGGCGATTACCCTTCAAACGCCTATGTCGCAGGACGATATGGGACGAAACTCACCCGTGGAAATGGGCATGGCGATGACCTCCGTAGGTTGGTGATCTTTGTTTTCATCTCCTTCATTCTTCTTCCCGGAGTAACTTGGTTTTTATGTTCTCGGAATGGAAGAGCAGACCTCGAGAGTAGACTTGCCGGCCAAGACCGTTGCATCCAATATTGGAAGACGAAGTGTGAAGTCGCGGAACTCGAGAGGGCGATGGTGGAGGTGAAAAAAGACCAGGCCGTGGAGGCACTCAGGGGTCGCGAGGTGTGGTTCGACTCTTATCTAAAGAGTTGCTGCACGGGAAACCCTGGAAGAATTTATCGTGCTTACCACAAGCCAGCGTGGGCAACGACTGGGCTTGTAGTGTAGCTTTCCTCTAACTGACGCATCCAGGCAAGGGTGGGTGTGATGGAGCGGGGCAGGCCCTGCGACGGCCTCTGTCGCTTCCGGATTCACCTAGGCACGAGAGGGGACTGCCCGTTGCCTTGCGAGGAGTGGGGGTGAAACCTGAGGTGTGGTGTGCTTGGTTAGAGGGGGTTATGCGAAGGGTCCTGTCACGGCCTCTTTCCGGTATGTCGTGGTGGCATGTCGGCACACGGAAACGTGTCGTGGGGCTGTGTCTTGTGGGTACAGTTGTACACCTCTGATCAGAGTAAAACTATTCGAATAGCCGTGCCCGTGGTTATGGGCGGTCAACCAGATTCACCGTGATTAGTCTCACCCCTAGTTTAGTCTTTTGAAATTGGATAGTATAGATGGATGGTTGGGCCTGTCGCAACGTGGTATAGCGTTGGACAGTGGATGATTAATATTGATTAATTATTACAATTGTTTAATTCTTTCAACTTCTGTTTATAAATGCTCGCTTTATGCAAATGAACCACTCTAGCTCTCCTTTGATAATTCCCTGCATCATACCCCTATTCCGGTATGACTTGCTGAGTACAGTGGGTAGTACTCAGTCTTGCTCTATTTTCCCCAACCCCAGAGTATGAGTATGTGTCGGATGGTGGTTTCTCCGAGGAGTAGGCTTCGTCCGTGCCGTCGAGGATGCCTGTGGAGTGGTGTTCCCACTGCAGTTCAAGTCAAGGCTTAGCTCCTGTTATCTTTCGTTTTTCCGCTGCATTTATGTAAGACTTTTATGATGTTTGTAAGACGTGGATCTGAATGTCAATATTGTCGTTTGTGTACCCCGGCCGGTCCTGGACGGGGATTTTAATGCACATTCTGCTTGGAATTCTATTCGGGAATTTCTGGGCGTGAGATCCACGTTTCGTTGTCGATCTGGTTGTCTGATTGATTATCAGGCATGGTCCAGTCAGCTACAAAATCGGCGAGTACTTGGGACTTCACTAGTGGAGATAGGCACATCTATGACAATCTACTTTTGTCATGGAAGACGCGCAAATCGTCATAAAGTAACTTCTATGACGAATTTATGACGAAATGGGATTCGTCATAGAAGTCGCGTCACATATGTTTTTCTATGACTAAACAGTAGATTTCGTCATAGAAATGCTTATATCCATGACGAAGGTGCTCGTCATAGAACTGCTTTTCAGCTGGCTAGGACAGACGTCGTCCATGCCACGGGGCTATCACACGTGGAGTCCATGTTGGCTGTGATGTGGCGGATGACGTGTACGCCACGCTGGATCATCATCTCCCGTACGCTAGAGCCAAGTGGCAGTCGTATTTAACGCCACGTGTTGGCATTTGGTATGTCCACGTGGTGGTGCAAGCTGATGCCACGTGGTCGAACGTGGTGGCGCCACGTGGCAGCCATATTAACGCCACGTGTTGGCATTTCTTATGTCCACGTGGTGGTGCGCGCTGATGCCACGTGGCCAAAGGTGGAGACACCACGTGGCAGTCATATTTAACGCCACGTGTTTACATTTTGTATGTCCACGTGGTGGTGTACGCTAACGCCACATTGCCGAAGGTGGAGGCACCACGTGCTCTCATTTTGAAGCGCCACGTGTACATATCTGATTTGTGACACACGTCTTTACCTGATGTTGCCACGTGTTGATTTGTTTGGATGACACGTTAGCACAGTAGGGATGAAGGCCCGCTCATTTTTTTTTTCTTAGCCCAGCCCATTTGGCCACATACTTCACATATTGTTGTGGCCCATCCCACTATGAGATCTAGGAAATTTTTAGCATTCACCCATTTCAAGCAACAATTAATCAGAACTTCGCAGCACATAAGAAAATAGGCCCAACATCAAGATTGATCACATGGACAAACAATCAGAACTTCACAGCACATTACAAATAGGCCCAACATCAACATATATCACATATACCAACTTCACATAGCACCATATTACAAAAAAGTTCACAGAACCTAGCACACATATGTTCACATTAAGTCCACAAAAGTTTGCCATAGGAGGACATTAAGTCCACCATAGCACCAAACATCATTTCACATAATCAAGTCCACCACATGACAATAAGTTCACAGAACCATCAAACAACTAATATAAGTAGATGGAGTTCATCACAGTGCAGAAGATCATAAAGGAGACTAGGACAGATTTAAGTTACCCTGGGAAAGGCTCAAGATACGTCGAAGGAGCAAATTGTTCTCTTCCTGCTGCTGCTTGAACTCTGCCAACTCCTTTTGAGTCTTTGCCAGCGCTTCATTTGCAAGATTTGCTTGTTCTTTTAGTTCGACAACTTCTGCATGGAGAATGGCTGAACTTTGCTTTTCAGCTGCAAGTTCTTCCTGAAGTGCTGCTTCTGTCGGTGTCACTGATTTCTTGGAGCTCATCTGCAGACCAGCATTTTTCAAAAACGTGGTATTGGAATTGTCCCGAGAGAGAACCTTGGACACAACTTCTGCACTAGTTCTTGGTGTCTCACCATCAGGTACAGGTTCTTCCATAATAGCTTTCATACTTGACTGCAGCAATGATTGAACATTAGCTATGAAATTAGATACATGAAAAACTGGCTGCTGCATAACACATTCAAAATACTGGCAGCTGCACAACACATTCAAAAAGTCACTGAAAACTGATGGAAAGCTACCAGGAAGCACAAACTAGAGGTAAGGAAACTTGTATAGAATGCAAATTTAACCAAATTTGTTTTCCATAAGCCAAAACAGAAACAAATTATATGAGTAAGCCAAGCATTCCCATATTTAGAAATATTGCATTGCCCTCTTAACTGTGAAAGAGACCAGAAACATTTTGAGCTCTAACTATGGTAGAATGTAATTATTTTCTATCTAGCCTCTAGCAACAATGCAGGCCAAATGCTTCTTGACAGAATCTAGGATACTGTTTTAGCATATATCAGAAGGCTGACTTTAGACTATATTTGATTAGCTTTCATGGCAGCTTTTGATTGATGGAACACCCTGGTAGCTATAAAAGAACAAGGTTTTCCCCTCAACTACTTTCATAAAATTTGGAGGGGGTGCAATGTTACTTAGCGTTGGTTATTTTCTATTCCTCCTATGATGCCTAAATATTTTCCCTAGAAACCACTAATGTTTAGAAAGAAAATACTAGTGTGGAGTACATAATCCCTCATAATTAAGTTTACTTTTCCAAGTTACAATGAAATAAGTTTTGAAGTAGTAAAGGCTGAAATATATTCAGTCTTATGTTCATATGATTCAAAACCTCAATACATGCAAACACCACTACAGCAGCTTAGGTAAAAATGAGTTTTCATGAATCACACCCTCAAACCCGGGATATTGATAAAAATACAAACTGCAACCAGGATCAATTGATGAAAAAATGTTTATGTAGCTTATTTGGCATTTTAACCCAATCTCAACTTATGTTGTATATGGTAAGTTGTCTAGCGACAAGTTTCCAGCAGCTACAAATTTAGTTTGGTATGTATTCTAACATTGTTAGAGTCTATAAATTCCATTAAGTCTGTAATGATCTTAGCTGCAAATATCTCTGCACACTAAGGACAGAAATTATCCTATGGATGTAAATATAAAATGAGCTGAATTAATAATATGTTGGCATAGGTAACAAGGAATTGAGTTCAATGTTGTAAGAATATACAGAGTGACTTACAATTGCATCTTTGGCAGCATCACTTAGACCTTTTTCCCTACTGGTATGGCAGTCCTCAAAGGCATCCACAACATCAAGCTCTACAACCTTGTTCTTCTCCTTCTATTTCAGTACAGAAAATGCAGATCAATTATTTTATATATCTATTACATTAGATAAGTGGTTCTTAACTACAATTAATGCTAAAAGATAATGGGAACTTACGTAAGCGTGCAAGTGTGCAGCATAGCTGCGAGATCCCGTAGCCTGATGGAACCTAACATTAAGCCGGTTTTGCTTGTTCTGTTCAGAGATTTGCTACAAAAGATGTATGTGTTAGACATAGTCGCAGGTATGAAATGAAACAAATATGTCATTAGAGATGACATACCATATTCTTTGGATTTGACCACTTTGCAACAAGTTCCAGCCACTGTTCATCAGTCATGCTACTTATGGGAGAGGTAGTTCTAATCTCGTTAGCAGGTACTCCATTGAAGTAGGCCTTCTTCAAATTATACCGTGTTTGTCGTATCCCTTTCTGCAATACATCAGCACAAGCATCCCTTGTTGGCTGGTTTTTTTGGTTAATGGCCAACCTGACCTGATGGTTTGAATTGCAATCATTAAGGAGTAACACTAGGTCATATAATAGATGAAATATAAAAGAATATAGATAGGCTCTTACAGATAACTTGCCCATGAAGTTGTTAATATAGCCTTCATCATCCTTGTACTGCTTCCAATGAGGGAAGACAGGAACTTTAGTCCTAATGATAACACCAGCCTCTGATGCAAACTTGGCAGCTTGCACCGGTTCATCTGGCCTTTTCTTCCCTTCGGCAACAGCAATGGGCATTCTTCCCATAGCTTTGGTCATCTTGTCAAGCATTATTCCTGCAGTTGGTGGCCTTGATTTTCTTGTGCCTCTTCGTATAGGTACTACAGAGTATTCAATTACAATGTTAGCATTCATCAAATAGTTAAAAATAATAAATTTCTCTTCGTTGAACTAACTTGCCTTCAACATCAGAATTGGTTTGCTGTGCAGGTTGCTCTTTATGGTTGGCATCATGTCCATATGACCAGTCCATCACCGGGCTCGGGGGCCTGTTCACATCATTATCTTGAAGCAAATGTCCACTGCCCACATCTTCATCACCATTGTTTTCTGTTTCTAGAGGCAGTTCTTCATGGCCATTACCTTTACCTTGTTCTGCTATGAGTTGCCTTTTCGCTGACCTTGTTGAGACTCCAGGAGGCATTTCGGTTGGAGCACCCGCCCTCACTCTCTTTGATATCCTTACTCCTGGTGGCATCTTGAGGGTAGGTTTCTTCTTCGTCGCACACTTCTTTCGTCTAGTTTGTCGAGGGTACTACAATAATAAACACAAAAGTTGTAAGCATGTGAATAAATTAGCAACAATCATTAAAAAAATAATCAAATGCTGCACAAATTAAATGCGGAAAAATTATTGCAGATATCCTAGCCCCCCCCCCAACAGCCAAGATAGAAGAAGCACCTCAATCATTATGGGGATGGGCTGCTCCGGTTCTAAATATGAATCATCATCACACTGAACCCCTTGTTCATCATCTTCAGGGAGAAACTCTGATGTATCAGAACCTTCTCCATGACTTTTCTTGGTGCCTGAGTTTTTTGTCTTTGAAGATGCATGTTGTGTTTCGATATGTTTAATAGTGGCAGCTATGTCTTTGATGCCAAGTTCATCCATCCTTCTTATATTCTGCAAGATTTTCTCTTGCCGCGTTCTTTCATATTCGTTTTGTGCAGGTTCTTACATGAATACACATATTTTAATGGTCAGAATACTAGATGGCATTTTGATGGCATTTCCTAAGCATATAAGCATTTTCAGAAATAGAAACAATAAAGTATCTAGGCATTTGGGATGAAAAAAAAAGAGACCATGCTCATCAACATTGGGGATTTAATGATCAATGGTGAAAAACAACTTTACTTCAATATCTAGTAAAAACAACAGGGTGATTCACTTTTCCATTTTAAAAGACAATTTTGATGAGAACTCTGGAAACACTTTTACAGTGAACAACATTGGTCATATAAATGATATAGCCATTATATCATTCTCTTTCACCTAATAAACTGTATCTATTTATACGACTAACTCAAATTATTGGTACATTCATAAACACAAACAAAGCAGAATCTAAATAAAATTTCCATTGTTGATCTGAAATCCACACTCTGGAAGATGCTTATGGCAACTTGAGGCACAAATTTATTTGAGAATCAACATAGCATGATTAATTTAAAGGTGCGCCTGAATAACACAGAAACAATGCCATATGCAGTAGCAAACTAGCAATAGCATCAACTGTTATTGTAGATAGTGACCTCAATCGGATTGCACACAGAAAATTCTTAATAGAAGTTGGACGGCAAATCAATCCACATGATGTATAACATCTAATAGCTTGAGACAGTACACATAAACATCTGAGCTTGAGACGACAAGATAATTTTGCGTACCTCGTGCTACTGGACGTCGACGTCTTCCCATCAGCTAGGTACGGCGACGGTGCAGGGACCTTGTCGATGGGGTACCCGGCTCCGGTGCGGCGGTAGGCGTCAACGGTGTTGTGGGAGATGGCTTCGGTGCGGCAGTAGTCGTCGACGGGGTACCGGCTCCGATGCAGTGGAAGTCGTCGACGGCGTAGTGGGGGAAGGATCTGGTGCAGCGGTCGTCGTCGACGGGGTTGCAGCGGAAGGCGTCGTTGCGGCGGCTGTCGACGACGAGGAAGTAGGGGACGGATCTGGTGCAGCGGTCGTCGTCGATCGGTTTGCACGGGAAGGCTCCGGCGCAGCGGTCGTCGTCGACGGGGTTGCGGGGGAAGGCTCCGGTGCGGCGGTAGTCGGCGGCGGCTCTGGTAGAGCGGCGCCCCGATGGTGTGGCGGCTGGATTTGGGGATTAGGGTTTGGTGGGTGAGAGGCTTTGTAAATATATAGTGGTTGCACAAATGCCCCTGGGTGTTGTTTTGCTCTTCGTTAGATGGAGGATAAAAGTGACATTTCCCATTCTGATTTGGGCAAATGGGCGGCAATGGAATGTTTTGGGGCTGTCATTGGCGGTAGGTTTAGGCGCCGAACGAAAAATCCTCCATCCATGAGTAATTAACATTATCCATAAATCAAAAACATTCAAATTATACTAATCTATCTGGATTAACAATTTGACTTTAAAAATATACTCCCTCCGTTCAATATTATATAACTTGAAAATTTGGATTAAGGGGGTGTTTAGTTCCAGGGTGTAAAGTTTTTAAAGTATACGGACACACATTTAAAGTATTAAACGTAAACTAATAACAAAACTAATTATAGATTATGCCCGTAAACTACGACACAAATTTATTAAGCCTAAAACATCCGTCATTAGCAAATGTTTACTGCAGCACCACTTAGTCAAATCATGGCGCAATTAGGCTCAAAATATTGGTCTCACAATTTACACGCAAACTGTGTAATTGGTTATTTTGTCTACATTTAGCACTCAATGCATGTATCTAAACATTCGATGTGACATTTTTGGAAAAAAAATGTGGGAACTAAACACCCCCTAATATTATTTTTTTAAAGCAACTTTCCTATAAAAACTTTTTGGAAAACACAGACAATTTAGTAGTTTAAGAAGCATTCACCGATTAATCGGAATACGGTTGTCAGACGGAATACGGTTTTCCACAACACTACTTTAAGCATGACTGAATTTATTTTTAGAAACTAGCACCTATAATATATTATAGGCGTCTTTTTTTAATTAATTGGCACCTATGACAAATTAAAGGTGTTGGTTTTTTTTTAAAAAAAAGAAAACCAACACCTATAGTATTGGTGTCGGCTCTTCTATAGTCAAAATCTGCTGTGGACGTCTACCACAGGGGCGCGGTCGTCGTCTCCCATGTCATCGAGACCTCCATGTCATCCTCGTGGTTGCTCACCTCGCCATTCACCATCGACACCGTGGAATGCAAGAACCTGGTTCCAGCCTCGGTGGCGTTGCCGGTGGATCTAAAGCCAAGCTGGAGGATGATCGGCGACGGAGGATTTGAGCCAGGCAGGTGATAAAATCGTCTCAGTTTACCATTCATGGATACTCCCTCCGTCCCATAAAAAAATCAACTTCTGGCTATGAACCTGGACACATGTTGCGTCCAGATTTATAGTCAGAAGTTGGTTTTTTATGGGACGGAGGGAGTATATAGGTCCAATTGAAAATTGAATTTTAAAAATTTTATGTTCACTTTAAACTGGGTGAACCGGTCGGTGTTTGTAGGAAAAATGTTGGACCGGCCAGTTTTAATAGAACGGACCGGGTGGTTTGGACCGACTTACCCCTCATTCTTATCGGTAGAACTCACATATAACGAGGGTACAATCGTAAATCAACACACATATAACAACGGATTCAGATCCAAACCAAACCAAATCGTAACAAAAAAAAAGAGCTTCCTCCTCCATGGCGGTGAGAATTAGCAGGAAGCGCAGGAGCCCGCCGACGCGTGGGCTGGGGACCTCCACGACGGCGTGCTGGAGCGCGTCCTGGCACGCCTCCCGCCGGACACATTCTTCCGCCTCCGCGCCATCTGCTGCCGATGGAGCGCGGCCGCCGCGTCACCACACGTGCGACCGCATCCCGTCTCTGACTCCGACCGCATCGCCGCAGTAGCAGCTGGTCCAGGTGCCGCATCTCCAAGGCCGATGCTCTTAGCGCTGCTGGTGAAGAGGACCTGGTGCTGGCCATGATCGAGTAGCAAGCTTCTGGTGCTTATGCTGCTTGCTTCCTGGATGTGGGCGACAACAGTAGCTTGAGAAGAAATGATACTTCTTTGTACAGCTTGGTGAATTCAGGTTGAGATCGTGAATGTGAATAAACTTATGGCTGATTATTGTGTTATTTTGAAAATGTGAAGACCATATTTGTGTCATTTTTTTATGTCAATTGAATATGACAATTAAGAAAAAAGTGTAATGCTTTGAACAGATGCTTGAAGTGTAAGTTGTGTTTGTACAGATTGAAATTGGTTTTTGCTGCTTGAAATGTCATGGTCTGTACAGTTTTAGACTGATATGCAGTATGTCACTTGGAACAAATATATATGTACATCACTTTGCATACTGTTTCACCAGGAAACTTACTGGATTGCCCAAAAAACAGAAGTAAAATATTTTCTCTTCTCCTGAAATTTTTGACCCAACTGCTTCACATATTGTTAGGAATATGAGTTAGCACCATGAACCTGGGAAAGAAATCAAATAAATGCAAATCATTGCTGGTAACAACTCTGTTCTTAAAATTGCTAGCTCAGAATCTCGATGTGTTTCAGATCTGCAATGGCAAATGAGTTCACAGAATAAATCAGTTGTGACATCTCAGTTACATAACACAAAATAAATGAGTTTATAGCTCATCCCAATTACATATGACATATCAGATAGATGACACAACTCAAGATATAATTTAATCATCATCGGTGTCTTCCGGCATGTCATCTTCAGCGTTCCCATTGCCACTGTCACTACAGTACTGCAATATTGTGTCATCTTCATCTGCATCATCCCTACTGTCTTCAGTCAAGTTAGCTTGGTTGTTAAGGTCTTCTAAATTAGCTTCAATAATAGTAACTTCTCCATCTTCCTGCAAATGGTCTAGATCCTCATCAGCATTACCTTCATGCACTTCATGTTCTGTATCAGAACAATTATCATTTTGGTGTACATCAAAAATGTGGTCATCTTTTTCAGACACATTATACATGTTCCTATGTTCGAATTTCTGCACAATTCGCCATTCGTTGCCCAAAGAGGTGTCCTGCAAGTAAAATATCTTCTTCGATTGAGTTGCTAAAATGAAAGGGTCATCCTTGTACCAAAATGATTGGATGTTGATGGATTTGAAATGCCCGTCATCCCTAACTCCTTTTGTCTTGCCAACTTGATTGAACCAATCACAACGGAAAAGAACCACCGATCGATAGATATCTAGATCAGAGTTATACTGCAACTCAAGAATCTCCCTAAGGACACCATAAAATTCAATGTTATCCCCTTCATGTGTACCATCAACCATTACACCACTATTCTGCGTTTGGAGGTATTTCTCACGGTCAACAGTGCTATACCGGACTCCGTTGACAATGCAAGATGCACAACTCTTTACTCGGAGATCAGGACCACATGACAATGCAAATAGTGCTTCACTGACCACCCCTGGATTTTCTTTCCTCAGCTTCCAGATCTGATATATATATATATATATATATATATATATATATATATATATATATATATATATATATATACAAGAAAAATACACATGTTATTCCCAATTTAAAATTTCATCACCAAAAAATGATATTTTTGTAAGTGTGTGTCACTTACATGAGTCTTAAACCACCTAGCAAATCCTTTTTCAAGTCTTCTGTCAACATCATGTGCATCTTCTTTCTCCAACTCTTCTCTATGCATGCTGTAGCAAATTATGACTCAACAATTAGGAAAATATTATATTTAATACAATACATGTGAAATAAACCTACATAAATGGTGCTTACTCCAAATATGGTTGAACCTCCTCACAGTTATTTAGCACATACCAAACTAGCTTATCCATGATTTCATCCTCCATGTACTGTATCCTAGTGGATCCTATGAGTTTAACACCATGCATAAAAACAGAGCTGTTACCATCCAATGGCCCATCCCCATGACGGGCGTCCCGATTAAATCTAGTGTCAACATCCTCCATGTACCTTGAACAAAATGTCAAGGTGTCACTTGCTACATAGGTCTCAGCAATTGATCCTTCAGGCCTAGCCCTGTTCCGCATGGAATTCTTAAAGGTGCCAAGTCGTCTTTCTATTGGGTACATCCATCCATATTGTACAGGACCTCTAAGTAGTGCCTCATCAGGTAGATGTACGGCCAAGTGCACCATCACGTCAAAGAAGGCTGGAGGAAAAATTTTCTCAAGTTTGCATAGGATCAGCGGGATGTCTTTTTTCAGTCGTTTGAGGACATCTATCCTTAGATTTCTACTACACAATTCCCTGAAGAAGTTACCAAGCTCTGCAATTGCTTCGTATATATCCTTGTCCACAAATCCTCTTATGCCGGCAGGTATGATTCTTTGGAGAAGGACATGGCAGTCATGAGTTTTGAGCCCCTGCACCTTGGAACCATCTGAACTTATGCATCTTGCTAGGTTGGCTGCATATCCATGTGGATACTTGACACCTTTGAGGAAGTTACAAAACTCAATTCTTTGTTCCTTCTTCAAGACATAGCGAGCTTGTGGGATGCGAACTGAGTTGCCATCCTGCTGTAAGTGCAAGTTATGTCTTATGTTCATATCATGCAAATCTATCCTCGAATTGACTGTGTCCTTTGTCTTGCCCTCGATTTTGAGCAATGTGCCCAAAATGTTGTCACATATGTTTTTCTCAATGTGCATCACATCAAGATTATGTGGCAGCAACAAATCTTTCCAATATGGGAGCTTCCACAGACTTACTTTGCGGCTATAAATTAGTGGCCCTTCATCCTCTCCACGTTTTCTTTTCTTACTTGTATCATGCTTACCCGGTCTAACATCTTTCACCTTCTCTAACTGCTCGAGGACCTCATCTGTGCTGAATTTTCCTGGCTCAACCTGGTTTTCATGGTGTCCATCAAAAGCATGGCTTCTTCGCCAAGCGTGTGTCCTTGGAAGGAAACGACGGTGGCCAAAGTAGCCTATCTTATTTCTTGGTGCTCGTGACAACGGATTTTTGTCACAATGAATGCATGCATAATAACCTTTTGTAGTTCGCCCTGACAAGGTGCTTAGAGCTGGATAATCATGTATGCACCATAGCACGGCGGCACGAAGATTGAACTTTCTAGCACTGAATGCATCATAAGTACTAACACCTATCCATAATTCAA